CCCGGACCCCTCCCCTGGCCCCACTGCAGCGGCTGCCAAGGAAAGGTGAGCACTGACCACAGGCCGGCCCCCGGCCTGGCCCGTGATGCCGCGCCTCTCGGGCCCTGGCGGAGTCTGGGTTCCCACCCCAAATGCCAGCTTCCGCGGTGGGCGGTGAGTGGGGCGGAGACTGGGCGACGTTCCTCTCCGCTGTGGAGTGTCCCCTTGTTGTCCAGCTACTTACTAAGCACCTACGGTGTGCTGGGCACGTAGGGGACTAGGAAAGTGAGCGGTTTGGAATCCGCTAATGCCACTCATTGACCTGTTACCTCTAGAGGGCTGTGGCAGGGCACAGCCTCCAGCCCTAACGGGTGTTTTCAGGCAATGCAGGTTGCCAGGGCCCAGGAGGGGCCCCGCGGGGAGCTGCTTTGGTCTGGGGGTCAGGAAGTAGCCGGCTGAGCAGAGACCTAGAGGGAGTCAGGAGTGAGCCTTGTCCGCCCCCCACCCCCGCCGCTCACTGTTCTCTGGTTCCAGGGACCAGAGTGGGCCTGTAATTGCAAAGAATAGAGCTGAGCCCCCCCAGAATTCCAGGAGTGTTCCGGGAACTGGCCAAACCTGACCCCGGCCCTCCCCTCCCCTCAGCAGGACAGAATTCGAGGTGCCCCCCAGGCCTGCATCCCCCAAGGTCAATAGGAGCCCCCAGGAAGCCGCCATTCCTGCGGAGGACACGGCTCGGAAGAGTGAGTTGGCCAAGGGAGGGCGAAGGGGTCGGCGGGGGGCGGCGGGGGTGGCCCAAGCAGGCCCGCTGGGGCTTGGGGGCCGGGAGCAGTGACTCATTGCCCAGGCTGCTGCCTGACACGTCAGCCGGGACCCTGGGCCCAGACATCAGTGTCTGAGCTCACACGGCGCCCGAAGGGGACCCCCCCCCCCCGGGCTGCCTCACACGACCCGGACTGGGAGTGGGATTTAGGAGCTGGCCAGGGTCATCCTGGTGGACTTCCCAGAGGAGGTGACCCGCACTGTGCCCTCCAGCCACGTGTAAGGTGGCCACGCCCCTCCTGCGGGGACAGACAAAACCCAGCGAAATAAAAGCGTCAAGATCAGTCCCCAGGGCATCTCGTCCCAGGAGTACAGTGACTGGACAAGGGCAGGGGAGGGTCGTCTCTCCCGGGCTGCAGGGACTTGAAGAGGCGGGGCGAGGGAGAGGCTCCAGGGACGCGTCCCAGCAGGAGGTCTGGGGTGGCGGGGGCGTGGCTGTACCACAGGCCCCGTGGACCCCTAACTGGCCTCCTCTTCCTCGACAGCCAAACGCCCAGCGCCAGCCCGGCCCACCATGCTGCCCCCGCAAGTGTCCGGAAGCCGCTCTTCCCCTCCAGCCCAATCCCCACCCCCTGGCTCTGGGAGTCCCGGGACCCCCCGGGCTTTGCCCCGTCGTCTGGTTGGCAGCAACCTCCGGGCCCCCACAGTGCCGCCCCCACTGCCCCCCCAGCCTGCCCGGCGCCAGAGCCGCCCATCCCAGGCCTCCCCAGGCCCGGCCTCCCCCAGCCCCGTGTTTCTGAGCGCAGCTGAAGGGGCCCTGGGGGAGGCTTCGGAGGAGGGAGGGGGACCTGAGGCTGTGGGGGGCAGGGACCCCGCTGCCCCTCACCCCCAGCCCAGGCACCTTGCCTCAGAGACCAACTGAGCCGGCAGCCCCTCCCTGACACCCCGCGGTGTCCCCAGGACACAGCTGTCTTGGTAGCCTGCTTCCCTCACAAAGGACAGGGCCTCCAGCCTTTGCTGCCAAGTGTCCGCTGGGCCGGCCCCGGGGCCAGGAGGACGCGGGATAGTCCTCCCCTTCCAACCCTTTTCCCCTGCCACCCTGGGCTTCGACACCCCAGCCCTGCCACGGCGCCCCCGCTCTCTGCAGGGCCCCAGGGAGCCGCTGGAAGGAGGAGGGCTTGCCTTCGCCTACAGGACTTCTATTTTTCTCTTGCCAACATATTTTTTGTAAGGCTGGTAAATAAATTATTTTGGACAAAACTGGAATAGTGCCCAAGTGATAGTTTTATTTTCTGCCCTCAAAGTAAAGAAGCCGTGCAGGAGGGAAAATTACCTGCTCTTTGCCTCCTCTCATCTCCCTTGCCTGAAATACCTGCCAACATTTTTAGAGCTTGCTCTGCTGCACAGTGTGCTTCTCTAGGCGCGATTTCCACTGGAGCGAACAAACCGCTGAGTCCAGAAAGTGACCTGCCAAGCTCCACCACCAATGAGTTGTGGACCTGGATTCAGGGCCTGACCTAGCCCTCACTTCCCGGGCTATTGGCTTCCCATCTGGGAAATGTTGTTAACGATGTCCACCGTCACTCTGGAGGTGCACAGAGGTCTTGGGACAACTCCGTGAAGCCCCACGTCCAGCCTTGTGCACACAAGCGCCCCGTAAGCCATGGCTGCTGCTGCTGCAGACTCCCCCCAACTGGTGCTGCTGGGTTTGTCCACAACACCTTCCCTGAGACCACTGTGGGCCAGGGCCCCAGTGCAGCCCTGCAGCCAAAGAGCTGGAGGAACAACCAGACACTTAGAGAACTGGCGCTTCGAATCAAGCATCATGGTCCTGGGCCCCTGTTGGCCCAGTTAGGACAAATCGCCCAGCCCAGACTGACATGTGTAGGGAAGGTCAAGGAAGGCTTCTTGGAAGAGGTTGTTGTACAAGGGAAGTCCTTCAGCTGGCCAGGTGGAAAAGCCTGGGAAGAAGGAAGAACATTCCTAACTGGGACTGCAGTGGCAGTCTGAGTTAGCGTGCTGCCCCTACACTCTGGCCTCACAGGAGAATCCAGAGTAGTTAAAACAATAACAGCAACAAAACCAACTAAATCAGGACCTCCAGGGTCTGCCAAAGCACTGGGGTTTTTAAAGCAACCATCAAAAGTCATCGAATTGTGCCCTTAAGATCTTTGCATCTTGGGTCTCCTGGTGGCACACGGGTTAAGTCTCAGCGCTATCGCTGTGGCCTGAGTTCGATCCCGGCCAGGGAGTGGCCCACATGACATAGCAGGCCTCTCCTGTCTCCCAGTTGCTCCCCTGAGCAGTGGATTTCGGTGGATCCGCCTGTTCTGCTCCCGACTCTGTCTCTGGTGAATCCTCGCACACCCGCCCCCCTGCACCTCTGGCCTGCACCCCAGAGGTGTTCTATGTATAAATAAATAAATAATAAATCTGTAAAAAAAAAAAAATCTTCGCGTCTTGCTCTAAGTTGTATGGTAACAAAAATAAACAATTTCCCAGGAGACTCCCACAGCACCGCCAGCCTGGAAACCACTGGCCTAGGCCAAAGATCCCTGGGATCGCCCAAGAAAAAAGCATTGTGCCTCTGACCTGTCACTCCCACACGCTCTGCAGGACTTCGCTCACCCCGGGTGCAGAGGGCAGGGAGATGTGACCCAAGACCGCAGCTCCTTTAGCATAGTTTTCCTCTTAGCAACCAGCTCTCCTACGCTTCTGATTGGGTGGGAGCGCGGGCCGGCTATTCGCGCCACGCTTTCCTTTCCTAACTCCTTATTGGTCAATATGAGCATCAGTCTCCCAGCGGAGCGGGACGAAGGACCAGGCCGGGTTTTCATTGGTCCCCTGCTCAGGGGCGGCCCCGATTCCGTCCTCTGCAAGCTCGTCGAGCCGGCGGCCTCACGCCTCTCGCAGACGCTCGCCTCCATTGGCCACGGGCCAGGTCGTGACCCCGCCCCCAGGCCCTTCCGGCGCTCCGATTGGCGGCGGCGGGGGACGGGCTGGCTG